AACACAAGTCACTGGGGCTGCTGGTGCAGCAGGGCCTGGAGATGGTGCGGGAGCTGGAGGCGGCGCTGCAGCAGTGCCTGCCCTGTGGCCCCCAGCGCCCGCCCCCTCGGCCCCTGCTGCGGTTCCTGCTGGATGAGGCTGGGAACCTGGCGGCCCTGCTGCGCCAGGTGGGCGTGGACCTGCGCTGCACCCAGCAGCAGCTGCAAGGGGCGCCCTGCACAGTCCCCCGCTGCACCGCAGTGCTGCGGGCCCTGGGCCGCGACCGCCTGCCCCACGTCTGGCTGCCCCCCACACCCACCGGGCCCCAGCACCCCAGCGCCTGGCTAGAGACACTGCGGAGCCGCGGGCAGTTGCTGTGCAGCTACCTGGGGGCAGGCACGGGGCCGCCAGCCCCACTCTACCACCTGGCCGCCTTCCAGCACCCCCGGCGCCTGCTGCTGGCCCTGCTCCAGGACACCGCACGGGCCGAGAACCAGAGCCTGGAGCAGCTCCATCTCAGCCCCCAGGTCAGAGCCCGGCCCCTCCTTGACAGAGAAAGTGGGGGAACAGCTGGGCCCTGCACCCACCCTGCTTGACCTCCCGCACCCCTCTTGCAGGTGCTACCATCCTGTGTCTCACGCCACAGCCACAGGTCCGGGCTCCTGCTGGGTGGTCTGGAGCTGCGCAATGCATGGTGGGATGAGGACAGGGCCCGGCTTCAGGCTACGCACAGCACCCAGCCCTGCCCGCTGCCCCTCGTCTGGGTGCAAGCCTTGCGCAAGGCGAGCCAGCTGCCAGGGGCCGGCGCCCTCCTGCCCCGGTACCACTGCCCCATCTACGTGGGGCTGGTCCAGCAGCCCACATGTCTGAAGAGCCACCGGGCTGTGCTGCACCTGGCACTGCCCTGCACCATGCCACCCGCTTTGTGCATGCAGCATCGCCTGCATATCGTCAGCGTGCTGCCCTGAGACACCCCGCACAGGCCGCTACAGAAATAGAATATATTCGTGTACAAAACATGCTGCCTCCTGTGCTCAAGTCTCCACCTGGCGCCAGGCGCCCACACATATAAATAAGGCCCAGGCAGGCGCTGCGTTGTCTGTACAGTCTGCCAGGGTAGGTGCAGGGGTGGCGCCGGCGCCAGGGCCTGCCCAGCAGAGACCAGCGTCCACCCGTCCCGCAGGCACCTCCCCACCAGCGTGGGTCACTTGAGGTCCACATCAAAGTCCAGCACCAGCAACTTGGTCTCCTCAGTGCCGTTGCGACTGCCCACCGCGCACACCAGCTTGGTGCTGGAGGCACGGATGCGCCATACCACACCCCCGCTGCCCCCACTCTCCAGTGCCACCAGGTTGCGCACAAACTCGCCCGTCTTAAGGTCCCACAGCTTGACGGTGCCATCGTCAGAGCTGGTCACAACGAACTTGGAGCTGAACTGCAGGCAGGTCACTGCGCTCTGGTGCTTGCTGGGCCCTGGAAGAAGAGGTGCTGTCAAGCCCCGGCCCACCCCTTCTCCCGGCCAGGCCCCGTCCCTGCCACCCCCGCCCCTGTACTCACCCTGCAGCGTCTGCAGGCACTGCCCTGTCTTGATGTCCCAGATCTTGACGGTGGAGTCAGCATTGCCGGACACCAGGATGTTGTCACGCAGCTCCATGCCGCTGGTGAGCGACTGGTGTCCCATCAGTGTGTGCAGGCAGTTCCCACTCTCCACGTCCCACACCCGGATTGACGTGTCCAGTGATCCGCTCACGATGTGTGTCCCGTCAAACTGCCAGTGCAGGGGGAAGCGTGGTCAGCCATGCTCAGCTGAATGGGTGCTGCCCAGGGGGTGGGGTGCCTTGCCAGAGCCAGAGAACCGCCCGCCGGGTGCAAACAGGGCTCGTGCCCTTGCAGCTCTGCCAGAGCAAGCATCGAGGGGAAGGGTCTGGGGAGCAGGCACGGTGAGTGCGGGGGCATCTCACCTGGAGGGAGTAGACGCGGTTGGTGTGCCCCTGCAGTGTGTGAGTGCAGCTCTCGCTCTCGGGATCCCAGACCTTGACAGTGTAGTCGTAGGCGCCGCTGACCACCTTGTGCCCGTCGTACTGCACGCAGCGCACAGCCGCCACGTGGCCCATCAGCACATGCAGGCACTGGCCTGTCTCAATGTCCCACAGGCGCAGCGTGGCATCCCGCGACCCGCTCACCACCCTGCACAGGATACACGTGCCACCAGGGCTCAGCACCCCGTGCCCTCTCCCTGCCCCACCCGGGTCCCCCTGATGTCCCCCCCAGTACCTGTTGCCGTGCAGGTGCATACAACGCACAGTGGACGTGTGCCCATAGAGAGTGTGCACGCACTCGCCCGTGTCCGCATTCCACACCTTCAGCGTCCGGTCTGTGGAGCCACTGATGACGATGTTGTCTCTCATCTGGGATGACCAGACGCCCCCGGTGTGGCCCACCAGCGTCTGCACACACTGTGGGACAGCCACCATCAGTGCATGCACAGCAGGGCAAAGGCAAGACCCCTAGCACCAGCCAGGCAATGGGTCCAGCTGCCCCAGCACCGCTGCCTGGAGCTCCCGCACCCCTGCCCCATTGTAGGTAGCTGGGAACGACCCAGCTCTCCCCCCCACACTGATCCTAACCCTAATCCCAGTTTCATAATAGGTAGGGCTGAAGGGGACCTAAGCAGATCAAGTCCGACCCCCTGCCAGGATGCTGGGGTCACACGACCCCGGCTAGGTGGCTGCCTAGCCTCCTTTTGAAGACCCCCCAGGGTAGGAGCGAGCACCACTTCCCTTGGAAGTTGGTTCCAGGTCCTAGCCGCCCTGACTGTGAAGTAGCGCCTCCTGATATCTAGTCTGAATCTACCCTCTGCCAGCTTGTGACCGTTATTCCTTGGGAGTGCTCGGGGGAGCAGGGACTCCCCCAATGCCTGCTGGTCCCCTCTGACTAGTTTGTAAACGGCCACTAGATCCCCCCTCAGCCTTCTCTTGTGGAGGCTGAACAGGTTCAGGTCCCGTAGCCTCTCCTCGTAGGGCCTGCCCTGCTGTCCCCGGATCATGCGGGTGGCCCTCCTCTGGACCCTCTTGATGCTGTCCACATCCCTTCTGAAGTGCGGCGCCCAGAACTGGACACAGTACTCCAACTGTGGCCTGACCAGAGCCGCATAGAGGGGGAGGATCACCTCCTTGGACCTGCTCGTGATGCATCTGTGGATGTATGACAAGGTGCAGTTAGCCTTCCTGACCGCGTCCCCACACTGTTGGCCCACGTTCATTTTGGCATCAATAGAGACTCCAAGATCCTTTTCTGCCTCTGTGCTGATGAGAAGGGAGTTCCCCAGCCTGTAGGTATGCTGCTGGTTCTCTCTCCCCAGGTGCAACACCTTGCACTTGTCCGCTGGGGTCATTGTGCCCCACACAGCCCCATTTGACCTCAGGTCCAACAGCCCCTAGCCCCCTGGGTTCACTCGGACATGTTACATTCAGCAACACGTCCCATGCCATGTCCTGCAGATAGCCAAGTTTGGTGCTCAGCAGCTGCGGGAGCAGGTCTCTGTAGCCCCCCGGCACGGCAAGCTCACCTCCCCTGTGACGGCCGACCAGACTTTGAGCGTGTTGTCGTCAGAACCGCTGACAATGCGGTTGCCACAGAACTGCAGGCAGGTAATGACGTGGTCATCATGGCCCTTCAGGACCTGCAAGGGGGGTGCAGATGTATCACACGGGGCCAGGAATCCAGGGGGGCAGCCCAGGAGAGCCCTGAAGCTGGGGGCTTTGCTCCAGCCACCACTGGGAGCATGGGGGAGCAGGGAGGCTGAGGCAGACAGCCGACAGGCTGGATCTCATGCAGCCCCTGAGATGCTACGGGCGAGGGGCAGATCCAGGCCTGCGACAGACGGGCACAGAGCCCAGGCATAGGATATGGCGGGGCAGGGGCCGGGGCCACTCACCAACCCACCTTGGGGGCCTTGAGCTCCCCGCTGCGCCAATTCATGTCGATGCGGTGCTGCCGCATGAAAGCAAACTTCCAGGGGCTGTACATGAAGCCGGGGCTCAGCAGACGCCGCTTGCGCAAGTTCAGGGGCTCCTCGATGCCTGTGGGAGGGAGAGGCGCGAGGCTGGTTGAGACGGGCTGGGACCAAGTTGCATGCAGCACAGACTAGCTCTTTATAGATCTATTTCATTTCAAAGCTAGATCTGCTCCTGGTCCAACTGGGTAAAGTCCAATGCTCATGTTCCAAAATCCGACTGAGCTGAGCTCAGTCACTCCTGTCTACATGGAACTACTACAGGGCAAGTCTCCTCCCTCCCAGACCATTGGCTTGGGGCTCTGGATATTCTCCAAATCTGGACAGGTGTCCTGTGTACAAGCCCCAGGCCCAGAGGCCTTGGAGTTCAGATGCCCCCAGTCTCGCTTGCCTTCAGCCAAAAGGCCAAAGGAGCCAACAAGAGGGAGAGCCCGAGAGCAATCCCCCTTTGCCATCAATTGTGCAGCCCAGATCCCCGCGTCAGAAGGCTTTAGCAGACTCTGGCAGGGGTTAGCCTGTGGCAAAGGGCAGGCCTCCGGCCTCAGCTACACAGAGTCATTCCAGGCTGGGAAGAGGATTTCCCCTTCCAGATATGTTAAACCATTAAGCCCATCCCTGTGGGGTCTCCCTGCTGGGTAAGGGATTTCCATGGGGCCTGGCCCATGCCCCTGGCTACACTTTATATTGACTTGATGCTTGATATTAGAGTGAGGCCCAAAGGCTCGTGATTTATTACATGACCTGAACCCCACTAGAGACAAAAGAGTCTTGAGCCATGGTGACCCCAAAGTTCAGCACTGCACATGCATTTAATCACTGGCGTAGCTAATTTCCGTTACTGAACATGCTAATTATAAGCAACGTGTTTAATGTGACTTCCTTATGTGGAAACGTAAGAATGAGAGGCTTCTATGCAGGTGGAGAGTTTTAAGTCTTCCTCAGTGAGGACTTGGATGTGGGGTACAGCTCAGGCTGCAGATGGGGACTGGGGTATGCAAATGTTCCTGCTGGGACCAACCCCACAGGGTCCTGGGTAGAGGGTCTCGCCCCCCTGCTCAAGCTCAGACCAATGCTTCACTGGGGCAGGAAGGGACTTCCCACTTGATCAGAGTGGTATGGACTGGGTGAGTTTGCCTTCCTCTGAAGCAGGGGCACAATCTCTGCCTGGGGTGTAGCCCTCCCTGCTTTCCCTGAGGCAGGGGCAATGCCTGGGGCTGTCCCCCACTTCTCTGTGATCATGAGACAGTGCCTTACCTTCCTCACGGCACTTCTCCCTCCACAGCAGGTTGTCCTCAGCCAGGACACGCCAGTAGCGACAGGTCTGGGCGGCACGAAGCAGGTCCCGGGGCTCCAGAAAGGACAGGACGTAGAGTGCCAGCTGCAGGAGAGGGGAGTCAGGGGGCTGCAACGACCCTAGGACCTCCGGCTGAGGGCCACCCCATCCCCACACAGTGCTGCTCACCTCCTTGGGCAGCAGAGAGATGAAGTCCCTCTGGAACTGGGGCTCGATGACCTGCATCATGTACTTGATCTGGGAGGGCTCGCAACGGTCAATGAGCTCGTCCAGTGCCAGCAGCTTCTCAGGGCCGCTCCAGCGCTGCGGGGGATGCGACCGGGACGTGAGACATGAGGCAACACCTGGCCACCCCCACAGGGAGGCAATAGGCTTCCCTGAGAGCCCCTGAGCTGCAGAGCCTGGCAGTGCAGGGGCCTCGGGCACAACAGGCTGCACAGAGCCCCAGCAAACAGCTGGCCGGGTGCCGGGGCTCTGGGGCTGCCACGCAAGGACCTGCTGGGCAGACGTGGAGGGGAGGGGAGCAGGGCACTGAGAATGCGATGGGGGAGCTCTGCCAGCTGCAAGGTAGGGAGACTGTGACCAGAGCTTGATACAGCTGAGCAGGAACCTCCTCTTCTCCAAACTGGACCCTGGCCTGTCCGTGACCCCTCCCAGGGCAGCCCCTGCACAGCCCATACCCCACTCCTGGTCCCTCCTTGCCCTGGCTGCTCCCCGTGGGGCCCTGGGGCCACGCACGCCTACCTGGAAGGTGCGGAGCCAGTCCTGCAGCCCTGGGGGCGGAGCGACCGAGGGCATGCGGCGCCGGCGTGCCTGGCCCGGCCGGCCATTGCGCAGGTCCCCAAAGGTGGTGGTGGGGCTGGGGGTGCAGGGACCCAGTGTCCTGGAGCCCAGTGAAGAGACACACAAGGGAGACACTGAATGTGCGTCACCAGGCAGTTCCCAAAAGCCAGGCAGACAGACACCTCTGCCCCAGACTCCCCGCCGCATCTTCCAGGCCCCACCAACTCCCCGTCTCCTCAAGAGGAGACCCCTAATCAGCCCTGCTCCCTGCAGGCTCCCTCCCCTGGTAAACCCAGCCCAGCCTCCCCCCGGCAGCCCCAGGCCTGCTCTCACCGGCTGAGCTCCGAGCCCTTGCACAGCTTCTTGCCAGGGGACAGGGCCCGGCCGTCCAGGCCGTTCTCTGACTTGCGCTTCATCTGCCAGGAGAGGGGAGTAAGCAGGATGCCGCGCAACACAGCTGGGCAGAGCTCAGCCCCTGGGCCACGAGCAGGGGAGGGGGTTGTGGCCCAGCCTGTAGGAAGGTGGAAGGCAGCCCGTGCGCAGCACTGCTGCAGCCTGGAGCACTCCAGGGCCCAACGGCCAAGCAGGGAGGACCATGGCCCCCTGGCACAGCGACACCTCCAGGGCTCTCCCACATGCCGCACTGAGCACGGTCACCCCCCATTCTTGCCCAAGAGCCCAGGCCCCTGCCCCAGGGGGCCACGCTGCCTCCTGCCACTGCAGTGCTGGTGCTCAGCTCAGGGAGTCCTAGCAGGTCCCTCTCTCCGGGGCTGGGCTCCAGGGCGGCTGCCCCTCGCACCCTCCTACCTTGGGCCGCACGTGCCGGATGAGGCCGCCCTCCTCGGTGCGTTCCAGGTAGTCGATCCAGCGCTCGCCCACCGTGTAGTAGAAGTAGACGTCGCCGCTGTCCTCCCCTTCGTCACTGCAGCAGCTGCCTTCCTCCTCCTCCTCCTCTTCCTCCTCCTGGACCCCGCGGCTCCGGGGGCTGGCAGGCTCCGGCTCCCCGGGGTCCCCCACGGCCTCTGGCTCGGGCACCCCCCGTGCTCGGGAGCCGTCGGGCTCAGGGCCCGGCACGGGGCCCCCTTCCCCGCTGGAGCGGTCCAACTCCTCCGAGTCCCAGGGCACCTGGGCATCCTCCTCCTCGTCCCCGTCTTCTGCGGCCGGCACCTGCAACGGGGACAGCGGGTCAGGGAGCGACGGGGTGGGCTCTGGGGCTGGGCTCCCAGCACCACGAAAGGAGCTCCGCAGTCCCAGGCCCAGCCTGCGACACGGGCAGAACCAGCCCTCGGGGATTGGGCGAGGGCAGATAGCTGCAGGCCCAGCTGGCACGCCTCCGCCGAGCAGCCAGCTCGCAGGGCGCAGCGCCTCCACCCTCGGCCAGAGCCTCCTCAAGGGCTGCGGGGAGGGGAGGGCGGGGG